ATAATGATTACAGTAGTTGTGAGCTAGTTCTGATGCTTCGATAAACATTGCTAACTTTGATGCTCTAATCTGATCGTTTTTCAATTCTATGTAAATGATTTTTCGTAAAATGCAGTAAAGAGGCAAATTCAGTGCTCGAAATTCTCCTTCATTTATTTCTGCCAACAAAATCTATGAGATGTATTTAGAGTATGCCTTCATTCAAATACAGAATGAATGCGAGAAATTAAATCTAGAACATATAGGAAAGTCGAGCATTTCTTGGTGTAGCATTTACGTGAGAAGTAAAGAGAATACATAACAGTTGTTTTTATTATTACTAGATTAATGTGGTAATTATCATTAGTGTGTCAGAATAGTGCCGGAAACGAGTTTAGCTAAACTAAAAAAGTATTTCAGTTAACAACAGGTCAAGCAGAAAGTTTGTGAATCTCACAATTTTTTGTTTAAGGAAATAATGCCTTCCTAAGTTTCCAATTCTATCAAAAAATCACACTGGCTGCTATTATTTTTTTTTTAATTTTTATTTGTAAAAAGAGTTTTGTCAAAAAAATGGAAAAAATTGCAAGTTACACCAAATTTTTGTGTTAGGAATTATTTTCAAATTTAAAATTTCTTCAATAATTTGAAAAATTTTTTAAATTATAGCGAAGAATTTTTGGAAAGGAGAGTATTAAGTATTGCTTTTCAGGTTATCGCACTGGTTGTGATTTTGCTAATTTATTTGCAAGATAAGAGTATACGTTCGAGCTACTCGACAACTTACATTATAATTGCGCTCACCTGTGGACTGCTACTGGGATGGAGTATCGGTTCTGTCCTGCAACAAGTATTCTTCATCAGAACTGTCGTAAGTTATCATTTATTCACCAGACTTTAAAAATTTATGTACATTACTGAAAGGAATGCAGACAGAATCCTTCAAAGAGAAAAATAGTGTCAATATGGTGATAATAATAAAGCGAAATAATGAGTCAAATTTTTTGATGAAATGAAAGGGGCAAAAATTGAGGAGAATTCAGAATACCAGACCTATTTAACATAGCAGAGTTTCAGTTCAGTGTCTTCTTTATAATGATAGATTCTGAGCATGCATATCACAATATAGTCTGGTTCTCTGAGATAAGGGCAGAGAAAAAGATTTTTGGTAAGCATTCATGCAGTAAGCTCATTACAAACCATATACATTCATGCTCTCTTCTGAATTTTAGTTGGAATGAAGTTGAATGGGAGGATGTCTACGTAATCCTCTCAGAAATGTTTGCGTAAAATCTCGTAACTTAGTGAGTAAAAAGTAGTAAGCTAAGAAGTTTTAACAAATTTAATACAAGCTCAGACTCGCAGCAGACACTTTCTTTAGATGGCATGAGAACGATGAAGCTGCACCAAATGTTAGCGTTGAAAGTGCAAAGCAAATCGTTAAATAGCATGTCGGGAATGAATGTTTCCGAATATTGAAATGACATTTACTTTCTTAGCTAGCACCACAAGCATAAGAATTGGTAACTTTGAAAGAAGTAAATTTGTATGAAAAGAAGCATGGTGTGTAGGGCACAAAGATCACGAAATTTTGACGAAATAAATTCTGCTACAATAAAACGTTGGTCATCTGACCACAAGGGTAATTAATGGTCACATGAGAGAATTGAAGCAGGCACGTAGTGTTTTGCAGGCAGTTTATGCAGCACAGAACGCTTCAAAACGAATAACTTT